TTCAAATAAGAACAAACTTTTTTAGTACACAACGACAGTCATCAGATGCAAAACTTCTTCATGCTCGTGCACAGATTGAAGATTTGGTGTCAAAAAATACGCAACTAAGAAATGAATATACCGATATGGAACGTATATTGCTACGTGTCAAAGAACTGATCACCGTAATCTTTTCTAAAGAAGGAACGCAAAAGTTGATGTCCCGCCTGTTGTTAAATTCTGCTAAAGCTGTTTCAAAACTGGAAATGTCAAAAGAAACATCAATTTTAATTATTTTTTGCTTTTATCAAATAATGACAGCAGCATGATTTAATTCTGTAAATCGGAACGATTCATGATTTCTATTTAGCCAGAAATATCTCGTATGAGCGATGAAGAACAACTAAAATATGCATTTTTAAACGAATTTACAACTAATCAAAAATTTGGTGTATCATCGAAATGTTATGCAGTAAACAGCGATTTTCAAGATGACGATATCGACTATGACAAGACTACTGATTCAATAGATCAAGAATCTAATACTGAAATTAAAGAAGAACCAAAGACACCAGTTGTTAAATCGTCTTCCAAAAGGTTTTTTAAGTGAATTATTTTTGCCTCTTCGAAAGGCGTACCTTTCAAGTAACGAATCATTATTTGGTTAAACAAATGTAGCATTTGCAGATCACATATTGAACCACTGTCACCATTGAAACGTTCGAACGTCGACAATCTTCAGACACCAGCAGATAGCACCAAAAATGTAGGTTTTCTGCATCTATACTTATCGCTGTATATCGTCGATTATCAGTCTTAACTTCCTCATTTATTTAAAATTTTTTATTGGCAGAAATTTATTGCCTTTTTAGGTTAAGAATTGCCTTGTAACAGAAAAAAGTTTTTTCTTTATTTTCATTGCAAACGATACCTTATAACAACTATAACTAAAAATTTTACTGTTATTTTTTTTATACAGTTAGTTACTCATTTGTTATCTTTTTTTTAGAACATATTTTAGACAGTACCGTACAAGCGCTCAAAACCAATAGCACCGTATCCGCCAACCAATACGCTAATAACTACAACGACGACAATTACTGTTGATACCAGTGATGTTCCATCACCAAAAACAAGAGTGTCTATTAAACGCTTATATAAAAGATCGATGTCGGAATCAAATATTTTGCTGGTAAAAATTTATACAGTTCTACGCTTTTTTATCCCTACTCGTTGAAACTCTACAAAGGAATGTTCTGTTTAAATCAAAGTATTTTCGAGAATTAATTAAGCTAAATTTATTAAGGAAGAAGAACGAAGAAATATAGAAACTGTGGCTCGATTCAATGCATTAACTCCTGGGTGCGGTACAACAAGCACTGTTGATCTGTAAGTACATAACTGTTTAGAACAGAAGTTAGGATTCTGACTGGGCTTTTCAACCTTGTACACAAGTCGAAACAAAGTTTTATAGGCGTAGTCCATATGTTTCAATAAAAAGTTGGTTGAAAGGTACAACGATTGAAAATCGTCAACATAATTATACCGGTTCAAAACTTATGTTCAGTGAGAAATGCGATGTATGTGGTCGTTACATCGTAGGGCTTGGAAAAGCTTTGAAATGCTTGGGTATTAAACTGCCTCATTTGCTAAATCGTTTAGTAAATAGTTTCAGTTCTAATTTGTCGATTTTCTAAATTTTAGACTGTAATCTTCCTGTGCATAAAGCTTGTGCAAGTCGCGCGCCAGTGCCTTGTATTCCTCCAATTTCAACCCCTCGCGCAACGTCACGTCAACAACGCCCACGTTTAAAAGATTTTTGCCCTACAAGTCAGCCTATGATTCCTTACTCGATTATTTACTGTGTAATTGCCATAGAACGTCATTTTCTTGATGTTGAAGGACTCTATCGCAAACCTGGGTAATTTTTATTGAATTCATGCAGTCAGTCATAATTGGATTACCTGATTACCTCAGCTTGGTATTTGAGATTGTTTGTTCTTGCAGTGAAAGGGCATGTATTGTGAAGTTGTATGCAGACTTTAAAAGCACCAGTTTTCGACCAAAACTGAAAAATTATGAGCCTGAGGTTTTAACCGGATATATTAAATATTTCTTGAAACAGTTGAGGGTATGTACATTTTTCTTTAATAAAACTCTTATAAATTGGAAAATATTATAAGTTCGTAATAACACACTGAATGTTTAGGACTCATTAATCCCAAGTTCTTCTTGGATTGATTTCGTTGAAGCAGCTGGAAAAAATAATACTGCAGCATTCGAACAATGTATTATGGATCTTCCAATACCAAATCGTGACACACTTGCATATCTTTGTCGACATTTTCAAACTGTAAGTTTTCAGTGTTCAAATATAGCAGTTCATATAAAATTTTTTCTTTCTACAGATACATACAAGCAAAAAAATAACAGTGCTTTATCTAAAAAAACATTTTTAGGTTTGTGAGAACAGTAGCATCAATAAGATGACACCAGAAGCACTTGCTCGATCTATTGCCCCAACCATTGTTGGCCCTGCACCAGTGAGGATCATGAACATGGCACAAAGTGGTGATGAAGCAGCAAAACAGGTTAAATGATATAATCTTGAGTCGTGAAAAAAAGATTTGCATTTGTACCAAAAATACATAACGAATTCTAAAACAGTGTCAATTACTTGTGTATACTGTTTTTCTTATTGAACCTGATTTTATGCACTATCAATTTGGTCATTGCAAATTTTTTTTTGCAGATACAAGTGATGCTAACCCTTCTTAGAATGCCAAACGATTACTGGGGAAAATTATATTACTGCGCAACTCCACGTAGAGATTTTGAAATAACGAAAAGGTAGAAAAGACTTCGAAATCAAAATGTAACTTGGATTTCGCATTTGCATGAACAGATGCTTAATGTCGATGTTTAAAGCAACTATCGCTTAGCAATTTTTAGTTTTATAACAATTTTTTTAGTAGCTTAGCTTTACCATCAGCAGCTGGTGATAGAACACCTCAAAGACATGTCCGAATTGCGGAACCTAATGAAACGACACAAACAGTTGCATCAGCTGCCGATCGCTCAATTCTTGGCCCAATTCATACGCCACCTGATAATCAATCAGAATCTGTTCATGCATTTTTGAAGCATAGCAAATTTTTGTTGGATCAAATTTGATTGGCATTATCGTTTACTCTTGGTGAAACATAGCTATTTCTGGTCTATAGTTTCTGAAATTTTTCTAAACAACACTACTAAACAAAACGTTGAGTGTTTGTTGAGCCTTCTGTATTCATATTTTGCTCTTTTTGCACTAACTGGTATTAAATCAATAACTGTTTAAGAATAATTCTGCAATTATCTTTATTTGCTTTTTTCTGCTTATCTTTATTCTTTACTATGACAGCACTTTTTACTATCGAGAAGGGTGCTATATAAAAAAAAAAGAAATTTTTTTTTGCTATTTTTTCTCTGTAGGTAGTCTTCAGCAGCAATTACTTCACTATACTTTAGCTGTGTCACATATATGGTTTTTAATAATTTAAAACAGCATCTTTATACGGCAGTAATATTCAAGAAGTTACCGTACTATTCTAAATGTTGTAGATGTTTATATGTTAAAAACGACTACATCACTTTATCTGATTTAGCCTATTTGTCGTTAAAAGCATTTGTCTTCCTAATCATAACTGTGATTATCTATTCAGAACTAAACCATCTGCAAAAGCAAGGCATTGCGTTACACCAATCTTTAAAAATTTTTAACTTTAAGAAGAAACTTTTTGATGAACAGGCTGATGTTGAACATTACGTAACGTTAAGAATAAGCATGGAAAGCGTTTTTTCACTTCTTGTTGGAAATCTTGTGTTAAAGTAACATTGGTTTTGGAATAGCAAACTTTTCTGAAGATCTGTGCTCTACAGTGGTTAAATGTTACAGTAACTCTCGTTGTCTATCAATCTTTCAAAATTTTTTTTTGCACAGAACTGTGTAAACTGTCAACCACTTCTGCTTATTGTATTTCCGGTACTCTGTAACAGTTCTGTAGCCAACGTATCCGCACTTATAAAATTAGGAGAATCAGATTTTTTCAATAACAAACATCTGATTTACAGGTCCACTTAATCGCCTTTTTTTGATTATATTGAGTGGTGATACAGACTCAACCGTTTTTTATTCCATACTGATGTTAGGAGTAATTGACGGAAGAAACTAAAATGGTTTTGCAGCTGTTAGTATGTTAGCAATTCCAACTCGTTCGCCAAAAATGAAAATTTCTAAATGCGTTCCAATAAAGAGGAATTAAAGGAGTAATTTAAGCAACCACTGGATTCTAACAGATGATCGTCCTCTGGAAAAATCCATATTTTTCATAGTTTTTTTGGCCAGTAAAGTAGTCTTTTTTTTCAAGGTGAAATGATGGAATCTGACCACCAACGCATAAAAATCCAGATGCTTTGCTGGTGAACGATATATATTACAAGTTATACATATTTTAAATTTTGTCAACTATAGTTTTAGCATATTAACGTTCTGAATTCCAACCTCACAGTTAAGATTTATTTTTCATGTAAGAACACCTTTGCATCCTTAAGAACAACTAATCTTACTTTGGTTCTAACCTTTTTGCTTTTTCCAAATCAAGCTTACCTGTCTGTCATTTAATTTTTTCCATTCCTTCCTCCGCACAAGTTTATTGTTTGATGAAGGAGCAGTTTTAAAAAATTTTATTACTCTGAAAATTAAGAAATTATTTACGTTTTTTCCTGTACTTTACTGCAAAACAGTCTCAATAAAATGCTTTTCTTCCTTTTTTTCTCGACTTTTTGTACTTTTTTATCGTCAGTTTCAAGCGAGCATTTCTGCTGCCGTAATTTCTTCACTCATTTTACAAATTTTTTTATACAAAGTCTGGCACTGAACTATGTAACTCTGACTAAAGCTACTAGTGCTCACTGTCTCGAGGGACTCGTCTTTGGTAATCGTTTTTTCCGCTCAGTACAGTTCTTTGTCTTGAAAGTATATATTCAAGTATAGAGTCAACACAGATGCCAGTGGTATGGGTTCATTCTTAGTCCAACCACTTACACATTTTGTTTATTCAGTTCATTTTCTATTTGTATTATCTTGTTGTTTAAATAATTTTCTAGATGAGATATGGAAAGACTTGAACGGACATGATTCAATTGGGAATACTAATGGGTATACTGAACTTAAAGTTGTAAAAAATCAAAAGTACAAGTTATGTTTGGGACTGTTCTTCTATTACGATTAATTTTATCTGGCCATTTTTGGAATTCGTCCTTTATATTGACGACAACAAAACAATTTAAAACCCTACAAAACAGTTCACAGCACTAATTTTCTAATGAAAATTCAGGCGAATATTTGGAACGCAGCTTCTTTTGTGCTCAGAAGTCATAATGTGAACAGCAAGCTGGCGTTGCTAGGCACTTGAAAAATCCGGATAAGCGGAAAATCTCGTGAAACACCGAAATCTCAAATTTTGGAATTCTGCCAAGAACAGTTTTGCTGTCGCAGATTTTATAAATGCTGTTGCAGCAGCAGTAGATTCAAAATGCGGCGATCAGTGGTGGGGCTGGTTTGTAGACAGACGGTGCAAGTTTGACACGTTCATTGTTCTGCAACATCTTCAGGTTTGCTGCCTTATACCTGTAAATAGTTTGTTTCCAACGCTAACTATTTTGTAAAGGCATTAGTAAGAAACACAAAGATTTCTTTGGACGGCGCCAGATTTCGTTTTTCTTTTTTTCCTTTGTATTCTGAATTCTTGGTCGACTTTTGTTTCATTTTATTTTGCTTTATTTACCTTTTTTTTTTTATTCTTTATTTTTTGACTTTTCTTTTGTACAGCGTGATTGGCTTTATGTCACGTTTCCCCGATGGAACCTGACGTATTGTTGATGATAGCTGTACTAAGATCACTGTTTTAAAACACGTAGGATTGTGCGGTTAGCTGCTTGAAAAAAGTTGAGCACAGCTTTTCTGTATCATCTTGAAAGTGTTTCCAGTTCGCGTTGAAGTGATTATTGAATTTTTTTGAAAACCATTTGCAGTAATACGACTGTTTTGCAGCATTTTATTTTGGTTAAACAGTTATATTAAACTTGCTCCGTTTACGATATTGTGACATGCTGTAATATTTATTTTTGCTTCCAACGCTTGTTTGTTCACCGATCAATGATTAATTATTCGATGATTCTGCAGGAAAATAAGGTGTTTTTGACTACGAAGAAACTCCTACTGTTTTCTATAGCGAAAAGCGCTTTGGTTGGCTGAGTGCCAACACCTCGCTATTTTGCATAATACTTTTTATAATAAGTTTAATAATGAGTTTAGTTTTTTGGAGAATAAACTTTTTTTGTAGCTTTTTTCCGTGTTTCGCCTTACAGATGCTTCTGTTTAGAACACTGTTCTATCGCCGGTAATTGCCAAGAATGTTTTTTTAAGTTATGGTGCGGATTTCACGCTGTTTTTTTCTTGCGCGAGCATGAAGTTTTTCAAACGTATTTTTAACCTGTATATCCATCTCATTCGCCGTTGGCTGCAGTGCTGCTGCTTCGTAGCTCAAGATACTTACTAGTTTCTAATACATGTACGTCAGACGATGACGTGTTTTTTTCGCCTGAAGTTGCGATTTGAAAGTGCTAGTCTGTGTTTTTTTCAAGACTAAGCATGGCTCTTGGTTAGTTTTGTGTCTCAACTCGCTCTCTATTGGTGGCACGAATTGCTTCAGGATAACCTTAAAACTGCAGCTTACCGCCTTCTATGACGTTAAGAGACGAAGTGGGTTTTAAGTAAGGTATTAACTTATTCATTGATAAGAAGATGCTCGTGGTGCTTTACCTGTTAGTTCCAGTCAGTCTCTGCTGTATTTAAGTTACTGCAGGTTAGCAATAGGGATTTTGATTTACTTAACGAACTAAACAACAAGCTGTGATTATTAAGATTATAATTAAAGCATGCATCAAGTTCTCTTTCGTTGAAATACAGTAGCATAATTACAGCAACAACTGAAATCAACGGCCACAGTTCATCCACTATCACTCTGAATATGTCTCTTTCTTTTTTCATAAAGTGCAAAGCGTTTTATATTTTGCCATAAAACCCACATTTCTATTCCAAATTACAGGTAACAACATACTATACATTCTTTGGACTCTCTGAAGGTAATCGTGGTTTGGAGACGAAGTAACTTGAGGGTAAAAGAGCTATCAATAAACAATTACTCTTGAAGGGAAATGTTTTGATTGGCAATTTCAACTAGCACTTTCAGGCAAAAAATGCATACCAGCTTCGAATGGCATAGGTCTTAGAAGACCGCACATTTCTTAAGTTATCTAACCAACACAAGCGCAATCGGAGTTTAACTGATTAAATACACTTAGGTTTTATGCACATGGTCCAGCGTCTGCGCAGGAAAACTTAGGTTATTTACAAATCTTGTTATACGTTTTTAAGATGCACTTATACAACAGCGGGTGAAAACAAAAGTTAAAAATGTGTCAGACTGAATACTTACGGAAATAAACATAAAAAAACTTTAGGAAAGATTTTGTTGAAAGTGAACTTTATCATAAACAGTAATTTGCAAAATGGAGGTTTGGAGCACATTCAGGCTACGCGCTTTTTACTAAAGCGAGGTATGCAATTATTTTTTGAATTAAAGCGCCTAGTGCGATGTAATTGTTTAGGGCGTGTTGCAGGATGAAGCGAATAACTTCGCATCAGTTGGATACAGGATTGCGTGTGGTTACACTTACTCAGAGCTGTTTGTTAATCAGCAACGATTTCCTACACTGAATTTAGCAATTTTTTTATGACATCAAATCAGAAACAATTGATAAAGTAATGGGAACATAATTGGTTTGTTGTGAAGTCCTACTGGTTCACTTACATGGAGCTTGATCGTTGATAGAAGGCAAAGGTTTTTCAATTAAGGTGCATTGTAGTTGGGAACGGATCTGTAATGGAGGAATTTTCATTTTTGAACAGAAATTGCCAGGGGAGGAAAATCTAGCGAGTCGTAGACATGGTGGTCATAGTATTAAATCTTTATTACGTGAGCATGTTTACATTTGTGGTTTTGGCCTTCACTTTAAATGGAAAAGATTGCATGTTTGTCGGCTGCATACAATCAAACAGATCTATTTTTTGCCTTATACGGGTGGTGCCTGACTTGTGCGGATTTGTGGAACAGCGATAACAAACTTGATAAAATTTTTCGATTGCTGTTACACTTTATTATTAGAATAATTTTTATGGGAATCCTTTTTTTATAGCTTTGTTCTCACCGTCTTTGGCTTGATTTGTTCTAAAAAAACCTTTATTAGAAATTCATCAGGGCGAGTGTACAGCGAAAGTGATATTGGAAGTTTTAAAATGTTGCCAGCAATCCTGAACAATGCTCGAAGGGGGACAAGTGCTTTTGTCAGATCAATCTCCAGCAAGAGAAGCACTGCAGAAATGAACGAGAAATCGCATTCTCGCAGTTTGATGGCGAGGGTATTTAATTTTTAGCAGTCAAATAAATTAGCTTATTTGTCTTGTTTGTTTTCTGCTGTCAGCTGCTAGAAAACCGTGTTAAATTCTTTTATAGTAAAGTTAGAATCTTTGAATCGGCTGGTTATTAAGGCCGGTTTGCATTTCTTTTAGTAAAGAATGGTATCTAAGTATAGGTAACTGAATTCGCAGAGAAGGAGGGAAGACAACCGAGAATTCTTATTGCTAAGATGGGGCAAGGTGGAAATGACCCTGAAACAATGCATCTTGCGACAAGTTTTGCTGACTTTGGTAATCTATATTTTAATCATAGAATCACTTTGAGATAATTGGACTTTCGTGAACAACCCTCTATTTTTCTGTTTCTTGTCTTAGGGTTTTTTTCTTATTATAGGCTTTGATGTTGATCTTGGACCGTCTGTTCAAACACCAGAAGAAGTTGCACGTCATGCTATAGATTCAGATGTTCATGCAGTTGGGGTGAGGAATGTTGCTGTTAATCATCTTACACTCATCCCAACTTTGGTTAGTGAACTGAAAAAACTTGGTAGACCGTAAGTTTTTTCTATAATTTTTTTTTTTTTTTTTGTTTTGGTATTGTCTTTGTTTTCAACCATTTCTATAACTTTTTTAGTCTAGTAACGAAATATTTTTTTAACGACATATTATCCCCAAGAAAAGATTTCTGCTCCGGTAATTATTAGTATTTGAGAGATATTCCTGTAATTGTTGCGTGTGACGTTCCGTTCAAGGACCATGAAAAACTATATGGAGCTGGAGTTGCATCTATTTTAAGTTCTGCTTCAGATATTACTGAACGAGCCTCTAAGGTATTATACATTATTTTTTACTTAACAAAGGTTGGTGTCTCACACAGTTTTTCTTTAGACGCTTGATCACATTGTGGCTGCCATTCGAACCTGAGGCGTGTAATAGAACGGAGTTTTCTAAAGTAATTATTGCATACTGCAGTTTGTACTATTATTTGTTCAGTGAACTTATTTCTGTCACAAGTGGGTTTTCTTAGCAGGTCAACATCGGATTTTTTGTATAAATTTGTTGTTATCTTTAACTGTACATACTGTGTGCATTGATTCAGTGGTTGATTTTTTAAAGTAAGGAGTCTGTTTTTGTACTGTACTTAAATTCTCTTCTAGGTAGTCGTAGTTGTCAAGTTTATTCTACTGCACTGTGCAATAGTTGGGTTCTACTGTATTATCAAAGGAACTCTTGAATTTTTTGTTCCTGGACTTTTTGTTGCTGGCGTTAATAATATGTTTTGAAGGAGAATGAAATTTAATTATTTTTAGCTTAGGAATCTTCTTAATTTGTAGAATAGTGGTGTAGCAAATTGCTGTGTGGAAAATGATTGTTGTAAAAATCTAAGTTTTTTTCAAGTTACTGTAGCAAAAGCAAGGAGATCAAAAGTAAAAAGTAGTCTGTAACAGCACATTGTTTTAAGTAATAAGTTTGTTTTAAATTGTATTATTGTTGTTCGGAACTACATCGCTTAGACTCTGGAGTGGCTTTTTTAGTTGATGTTTCTGCATGAACAAGTTTCTGTTTGTATTTTATGACACAGAAATTGCAGTATTCTGGTAACAAAAATTTTATTTATTTTAGTGTCATGAAATTGTATAATGAGATCGTTTTGCTAGCGGAACCAGATGCGTTGTACAACAGTGGCTTTTTACAGACACAAGAATAGTTAGTTTTAGGTTTTGGCCGCTCTTTAAGGTCTTATCGGGCACCAATTTTTTTTGTTAGCAGGGATAACAAGACAATAAGAGCGAGCACTAAACAGCAACCAGGCACATAAGCCATAATAATTCGGTAGAAATGTGTGCACGCAATGTTATTTTGGTCGTCCCTTAACGAAAAGAGTTAACTTAACTGCCGTAAAACTCCCTTTAAATGAAAACACCAGTTTCTATTGTATGTCGTGTAAAACTTGTTTTTTATTTTATGTTCTTGCAGTTGACTCCTCATCCAGTTTATTGTGATAGCAATCAGTAGTGGTTAAGGGAAGAAAAAAAGTGAATTAAGCTGTA